ATGTTCTGGAACTAGTGATGGCCGCATATCATACAAAGCATACAAAGAGCATACAAAGGATACAAAGAGCATACAAAGAGCACTGAATTGCACATTTGAACATAGTTGAAATTGTGAACTTGATGTTATGTGAAGTTGCTCTCCATTAAAAACACTGGAAAGAAAAACGCAAATCTGATCAGACCTCCGGCTAAGAGCCCTCCTCTGGCTCCCCGCTGTTGCTGAGGCCTGAGCCACTCCCTGCTACCATCCCAACGTTACTGCTGGCCACTTGGCTCCTGCCCCTTGCCATTCCAGCCTCTTTCCTTCAACCCTTCAGGGGACGGTGCCAGGCTCCCCACTCTGCTCTGGGACGTCACTTGGGCTTTCTCTGCCTGAAACACTCTTGTTCCCCCCTCGCATGCCCTCCAAACCATGTCAGGACTCACATAGCTCCTTGTTCCTTCTTTCTGCATGTACACGCGTGTACACACACACAGCAGCACCCGCACATATATGCACACACACACACACACACACACACGCATGCATCATTCGATTCACCATTCCATCCCTAGTCCTTGGCACAATGCTTTCTTTTTTTTTTTAAAAAAAGATTTATTTGGGGCCGGCACTGTGGTGCAGCGGGTTAATACCCTGGCCTGCAGTGCCGGCATCCCATATGGGTGCCGGTTCAAGACCCGGCTGCTCTGCTTCTTGTCCATCTCTCTGCTGTGGCCTAGGAAGGCAGTGGAAGGTGACTCAAGTCCTTGGGCCCCGCCACCCATGTAGGAGACCCAGAAGAAGCTCCTGGCTCCTGGCTTCGGATCGGCGCAGCTCCGGCCGTTGCGGCCCATTGGGGAGTGAACCATGAGGAAGACGTCTCTGCCTCTCCTCTCTGTAACTCTTGACTTTCAAATAAATAAATAAATCTTTAAAAAAAAAAGTAGCCAAAAACAAGGAGACACGTTTAACAAAAAAAAAAAAAAAGATTTATTTATTTGAAAGAGTGACAGAGAGAGGGAGAAAGAGAAAAGGGGAGGCAGAGGGGGTGAGAGAGAGAGAGAGAGAGAGCAGGAGAGAGAGCTTCCATCTGCTGGTTCACTCCCTAAATGGCCACAACAGCCAGGTCTGGGCCAGATAGGAGACAGGAGCCAGGAATTCCATCTGGGGTTCCCATGTAGGTGGCAGAGGCCCAAGCACTTGGGTCATAATCCACTGCCTTCCGAGGTGCATTAGCAGGAAGCTGCAAAGTAAGTAGAGTGGCCAGGACTCAAATCGGCACTCTGATGTGGGGTGCCAGGGTCAGGAGCAGTGGCCCAGCTCCAGTGTTAAGCCCCTGTCGGTATCCCCACCTTGGGTTCAGGGACAAACTTTACCAGCCCATGGTTTTTCTTGGAAGCTCCATTTCCCTCCTCAAGCCCAGGGATTCTCAGTTCTCAAAGAATTTCAAAGCATGCCCATGGCTAGGCTCCACCCAAGCCATTGAGTCAGAATTTCTGGGAGCAGCACCTAAGCAGGGGTCACTTTTGAAGTTGTTCACGTGCCTGTTGTGCAGCCGGGGTGAGAGCTGCCTCTCCAGTCCCATCTCCCTCCTCTCCAAACCACCCAGAGTGGGAGGGGTCACCCCAGTTCTTCACCCCTGGCCTTTCTCCACTCCAGCCAACCTGCACGGATCTTAAGCTCCACCCATGTCACGACATGTGGCTGCCTCCCATGAGTGAGCAGACCTGAGACACCAGTCCTGGACAGAGTGCATTCTGTCTTAGCACTGTCCTGAGGGGTTTGTAGTCCCAGCTACTACGAAACAGTAAGGAAGAGCAAGGACGGTGGAGACACACTTCTGAGTTAGCAGAAGGAACACAAAATTTCTAGCTTTAAGTTGCTGCTGGGGATGCCTCTGAGTGTGGCTGTGATCTGTTGACCGGAGGCCTTCGTCTGCTCCCAGCCCAGCTTCTTGCCTCTGCCTAATTTTTGTAGGTGGGGGTCTTCTCCAATGTTTGTTTCTCTCAGTCCTGGTTTTTGGGACAGAAAACCATGAGAGTGGTTTGAAAACTAGGTCAATGCACTGTCTTAGTCTCTTTCTGGGGCTACAACAAAGTACAAGAGACCAGGTAATTGATCAAGAATAGAAATGCATTTGGCCACCACCTGGGACACCAACATCCCATACAGGTGCTGGTTCACGTCCTGGGTGCTCCACTTCTGGTCCAGCTCCCTGCTAATGCGCCTGGGAAAGCAGTAGAAGATGGCTCAAGTGCTTGGGCCCCTGCACTCACGTGGGAGACTCAGAAGAAGCTCCTGACTCCTGGCTTTGGCCTAGCCCAGCCCAGTAGTTATGGCCATCTGGGAAGTGAACCGGCAGATGGAAGACCTCTGTTTCTCTCTGCCTTTGTAGCTCTGACTTTCAGATAAATAGATCTTTATTTATTTATTTATTTTTGACAGGCAGAGTGGACAGTGTGAGAGAGAGACAGAGAGAAAGGTCTTCCTTTGCCGTTGGTTCACCCTCCAATGGCCGCCGCGGCCAGCGTGCTGCGGCCGGCGCACAGCACTGATCCGATGGCAGGAGCCAGGTGCTTTTCCTGGTCTCCCATGGGGTGCAGGGCCCAAGTACTCAGGCCATCCTCCACTGCACTCCCTGGCCACAGCAGAGAGCTGGCCTGGAAGAGGGGCAACCGGGACAGAATCCGGCGCCCCGACTGGGACTAGAACCTGGTGTGCCAGCGCCGCAAGGCAGAGGATTAGCCTAGTGAGCCACGGCGCCGGCCAGATTAATAAATCTTAGAGAGAGAGAGAGAGAGAGAGAGAGAGAGAGAGAGAGAAAGAGAGAAATAAATGCATTTGGGAGCCACGGGCTGGCTCCCGTGTCTGCTCAGTGTCTGGTGCAGCCGCTCACTGTGTCACAGCATGACAGAGGACCAGCGTGGATCTCTCTTCCTCCCTCACAAAGCCACTCATGCTAGGATGGGGCCTCACTTTCAGGACTCCATCTAATCCCAAGGGCCCCACTTCCACTCAGCATTAATGCAGGAATTGGGGTGTTACGTTTGTAACACGTGGACTTCCGGGGGACCCATGTACACGGTAGGATGCCTACTTACAGCTCCAGGGTGGCTCTGCCCCTGCCTGCGTCTATCTCATGCAGAAGCCCACAGGGATGGCCTCAGGCGTCCCTGTGGGAAGGACTGTGGCAGTAACCTGGCTGGAAGTGGTTTGGTGGGGAGAGGAGCTGAGTTGCAGCTACGTGGTCACGAGAAGCACACAATTTGCACTTAGGTCATGTGCTCCGGATCAGACCGGCAACAATTTGATAAAGATGGCTCTACAATGCCCACGTGACTTAGAAAACAGCCATTGTCCACGCCACATAATGCGGTTCTTACGATTTTCCAGTAGCTCTGCAGTGAGATGCTGGGGGGGCCAGAGCCATCCCTGGGCACTGCCCCTGCAGCGAGGGCTCCAGTCTTCCCGGGCTGTGCTCCCCTAGGCAGGTGTGTGAGCCAAAATGTGAGCAAAGCTCGCACCCTTTGAAATGTGGGCACGGCCTTGGCACGGAAGGTGGGGGCAAAGGGCTTGGGCCTCTGTTTCCACCTTGCTGGGGGGCCTAAGGAGATCAAGCCCCCTGTTCCTTCTGTAAAGTGGGGATCATGGTGGACCCTACCTTTTGGGCTTTGGGGGACACACAAGGATGTAGCATCAGGGTGCTTCAAAAAGTTCACAGAAGATGGAATGGAAAGTTTATTTTGGTGCAAAAAGAATTTTGAAACTCACACAGAGTTTTTTCCATCATACGCATTTTACACAAATTTTCCGAAGACCCCTCATATGTGCAAAGTGGTCAGGACAGAGCCTGGCCAGAATAAACTCTCTAGAAACCTCCTTGTGTTGCCATGTGGGAGCTGCACACAGATACACATGTCCATGCGCATGCGTGTTTGAAGCCTAAGAAGCATGTTGCTGGCTCCGTCCCTTGTGTACCAGATGCACTGTGCCTTAATATTTACACTGTGCTCTAATTGCTGATGTTTTAGCGTGTGAGGCTGGTGTTGAGATTGAGTTACAGAGAGGCAGAGAGAGAGAGAGAGAGGTCTTTCATCTGCTGGTTCACTCCCCAAATGGTTCCATGGCTGGAGCTGGACCAATCGAAAGCCAGGAGCCTGGAGCTTCTTTCAGGTCTTCCATGTGAGTTCAAGGGCCCAAGCACTTGAGCCATCTTCCACTGCTTTCCCAGGTGCATTAGCAGGGAGTTGGAGCAGAAGTGGATCACCCGGGACTCGAACTGGCGGTGGCAGTCATTCTACAGTGGGCTGGAGAACTCGTTTTACAGATCAACTCCCACATCCACCCACCTGCAGAGACAGGCTCTGGATGCATCAGGACCATGATGAGGAGTGGCCAGAGGACTGGGCCTATGCACCTGCTTGAAGCTTCTCACAGGCTCCTGGGGGATGGGAGACAGAGCTGGCAGAGTCAGTGGTGGGGGGAAGAGGGTGTGATGGGCGGGATCGAGAGCTTTGTGAGCAGGCACTTAGCCAGGCAGTTAAGACACCTCAGGCCACACTGGAGTAGCTGGGTCCCAGCTCTGGCTCCTGACCCCAGCTTCTTGCCTAGGCAGTCCCTGGGAGGCAACGATGATGGTTCAAGTAACTGGGCCTTTGCCACCTACGTGGGCAACTTGGCTCTGGCTCCAGCCCAGCCCTGGCCATCTCAGGCATTTGGAGAGTGAGCCAGGAGACAGGAACTTTCCATCTCTCTACTTAACAAATAAATAAATTAAAACAAGTCCTTGGGCCCTGCACCCGCATGGGAGACCAGGAGAAGCACCTGGCTCCTGGCTTCAGATCAGTGCGGTGCACTGGCTGCAGCGGCCATTGGAGGGTGAACCAACGGCAAAGGAAGACCTTTCCCTCTGTCTCTCTCTCTCTCTCACTGTCCACTCTGTCAAAATTTAAATAAATAAAAAAAAATTCACAGCAATTTAATTACATAGATTTTTTTTTTCTATTTTGCAGAAGCGAACATCAAGGCACAAAGAGGCTATGCACCTCGCCCAGTGTCCCCCAGCCGGAGGGACAGTCCCACTGGAGACTGCACAGTTGTCAGTGACAGGAACGGGACTCTCGTGGGCTGATGAACGAGAGAGGATCCAGTGCTCAGCTCCTTGTGCAGTCCCCAGGGGCTCCTGTCCCTGCCCACCTCAGGGCAGCTTCCTACAGCCCGGACCCTGCTCCAAGGAAAGCAGTGCTGAGGTTGCAAGCCCTGTTTCTGCAGTTGGATTCTCTGGACCCAACCCTGGCCCCGCAGCTGACGTGCTGTGTGGTTGTGAGCAGGTTAATCAGCCTCTCTGGCCTCAGGCTCCTTATCATTGAACTGGAGGTAAAAGCAGCACTTGCCCCCTGGGGCTGCTGGGACCTGATCAGTTGCTAAGTGTACAGTGCTAAGATCAGGACCCAGCAGGCAGCATTTGTGCACTGCGCTTAATAACGCTGGCCTTAGGCCGGCGCCGCGGCTCACTAGGCTAATCCTCCGCCTAGCGGCGCCGGCACACCAGGTTCTAGTCCCGGTCGGGGCGCCGGATTCTGTCCCGGTTGCCCCTCTTCCAGGCCAGCCCTCTGCTGTGGCCAGGGAGTGCAGTGGAGGATGGCCCAGGTGCTTGGGCCCTGCACCCCATGGGAGACCAGGAAAAGCACCTGGCTCCTGGCTCCTGCCATCGGATCAGTGCGGTGCGCCGGCCGCAGCGCGCCGGCCGCGGCGGCCATTGGAGGGTGAACCAACGGCAAAGGAAGACCTTTCTCTCTCTGTCTCTCTTTCTCACTGTCCACTCTGCCTGTCAAAAAAAAAAAAAAAAAAAAAAAAAAAAAAAAAAAAATAACGCTGGCCTTTAGCAGTCCCAAACAGAAAGAGGCCTCTTCCTCCCCCTGTGAGAAAGTACCACGTTTGACTAACATGGCGTTGATCCTGTCTACCTCTTAAACCAATCACTGTGTCAAGGAGGAGGGACTATGCTGATTAGGCCAGGTCACATGTTCCTTTTTTTTTTTTTAAGATTTTATTTATTTATTTGAGAGGTCTAGTTACAGACAGAGAGAGAGGCAGAGAGAAAGGGGTCTTCCATCCGCTGGTTCACTCCCCAGATGGCCGCAACAGTGAAAACTGAGCTGATCTGAAGCCAGGAGCCTGGAGCTTCTTCCAGGCCTCCCACGTGGGTACAGAGGCCCAAGGACTTGGGGCATTTTCTACTGCTTTCCCAGGCCATAGCAGAGAGCTGGATTGGAAGTGGAGCAGCTGGCACACAAACTGAAGGCCATATAGGACGCAGGTGCTGCAGGCGGAGGCTCAGCCTATCACACCACAGTGTGGGCCACAGATGTCCAGTCTTGAGCACAGAGTTGGCCAGTCCTCGGCAGTGCCATGACCAGGGACGTGGTCACTGAGCAGGTGCAAACAGACAGGTGACCACCGACGTAGTAGGCCTCAGATTTGAACCCAAGTAGTTTGCCTCTCAAACTTGCATGCATGGATTCTTTTTTTAAAAGGTAATTTTTCATTTACTTAAATATTTTAAACTTAGATACAGTGAAATTAGCTTTTGTTGGTTATCCAATTCTGTGGGTTGATCATATAGCTTGATTCTTGGAGCCATGGCTGCCACCAGCATGCAGAACAAGGCCAACATCTCAAAGAGGTCCCTTGTGCTAGGACTTCGTAATCTGTCCCCACACAGCCCTGGCAACCACTGATCTGTCCTCTGGCCCTGTAGCTTTGCCTTTCCCAGAAGGTTATGAAAATATAATCACGAAATCTTTGGAGACTGGCTTTTTTTTAATAGAAAACTTTTATTTAATAAATACAAATTTCGAAAGCACAACTTTTGGATTATAGCAGTTCTTCCCCCCATAACCACCCTCTTACCCGCAAACCACCCCATCTTCTACTCCCTCTCCCATCCCATTCTTCATTAAGATTCATTTTTAATTATCTTTACATACAGAAGATCACTTTTATACTAAGTAAGATTTCAACAGTTTGCACCCACACAGACACACAAAGTATAAAGAAGAATAAAGTACTGTTTGAAGACAAGTTTCACTGTTAATCACATAGTACAACACATAAGGACAGAGGTCCTATATGGGGAGCAAGTGCACAGTGACTCCTGTTGTTGATTTAACAATTGACACTCTTATTTATGACATCAGTAATCACCCAAGGTTCTTGTCATGAGCTGCAAGGCTATGGAAGCCTCTTGAGTTCACAAACTCCTACCTTATTTAGACAAGGCCATAATGCAAGTGGAAGTTCTCTCCTCCCTTCAGAGAAAGGTACCTCCTTCTTTGATGGCCCATTCTTTCCACCAGGATCTCACTCACAGAGATCTTTCCTGTAGGTCGTTTTTTGCCACAATGTCTTGGCTTTCCATGCCCGAGTTACTGGAGACTGGCTTTTTTCACTCAATGTAATGCACCGAGATTGGCTCGCCCATGGTGTCTTGTGTCTTATTCTTCCCCTTTTATTGCTGAGTAGTATTCCGCGATATTGCTGAACCACATTTTATTTATTTGCTCACCTGTTAAAGGATATTTGGGTTGTTTCCAGCTTTAGGCAATTACGAATAAGCCGGCTCTAAAAGTTTGTGCACAGATTTTTGTGCGAATGGAAGTTTTCATTTCTCTGGTAAATAAATACATAGCAGTGCGATTGCTGGGGCTCACAATCGACTTTTAAAGAAAGCAGCAGACCATCCGTTTGTCCACCAGCAGCGTGTGAGAATTCCGACTGCTCTGTGTCTGGCAATTGTCTTTAGTTTGTACATGGACCATTCTAAGCAGGTGCACAAGCCACGTGTGGAATTGTAACCAAAATGTGAGTACCTGCTACTATTGGCTACAGAAATCAGAAAAGGGCTTGCCAGGGTGAACTGGAATGAACTGCATCTCAGACACGAGGATTAGGGTGCGGGATGAGGGTTCCTTTGCGTGGTTGAATGACCTGGGTTAAGACAAATTCAAGATGCACCCGGGAGCGTGGCTGGAGCCCCCAGGTCAGAGCTGTGAGGCCCTCAGAGGACCCCCACCCTTCTGACTCTGCTTCGTGCACCAGGCACTGAGGAGGAGCCAGGGGTCCGGCTGCCAGGGGAGGCCTTGCCTGACGGTGGGAGATGCAGTTGCCTCTCAATAAAAGAGTGAGTGGAAAAGGTAGGAGCCTTCCTCAGGACTCCTCTGGGGCTGGAACATACAGTGGTGTGTGTGTGGGAGCCAGGGCTGCACTGATGCAGCTGTCATGGGTTCTTCAAACACAGCTCATAAACGGTTCCATATGAGCACGGGGATGAGCACGGGGCTGTCCACTCTGCAGATGGTAACTGCACCTGTTGCATGGAAGTGGCCCATCTCCTGACCCTGAGCCATCGTAGTAGACAGCCTGGAGTATTTTAGGGATACTGAGTTCTACAGACAGTGCTAACCAGGACAGAAGCAGCCATAGCCCCCGCCCCCAGGCCCATAGCTGCCCATACGGAGCCCCACTCACCCCTCCTGCCTCTGGGCCTTGGTGGAGAAAATCTGCAAATGGACAGGGCTTGGCGCACTAGCCATGGCCCTAGGTTCTGGGCTGAGGAGAAGGGAGGGAGTGAGGACTGCCTCGCGTGGCTGGACCAGGCTGGCTGGGGATGGGTGGAGCTTTCTGACTTTGCCCTCCATGTGAGGAGAGGCAGGGGAGCAGAGAAAATCCCTAATCAAGAGGCGTAAGTCCTAGTGCATTGGCCAAAGAGGTGGCCCCTGCCAGTCAAGCTGTAGGTAGCAGTGCTGACCACCTGCTAGTGCCCAAGTCTCAATCCTCTGCCCGGCCCTGCACTGGGATTGTGCCGTTAGGGTCACCCCTGTGGTGACAGCTCTGTCCCTGGCAGAGCCCTGTGAGAGTACGCACACAAGTCCCCTGCAGAAGGCAGCCCCCGCTCGGTGTCGCACAATTAGATGAACTGCTGCCACTTACAGAGGCCGGGCAGGGCTTTCAAAGGTTGGCACAGCAGAGAGGCAAATTGTGATGAGTGTGGGCGTGAGGGCAGGGGCTACATGAAGACGGTTGGATCTGAGCAGAGGGCCTGGCCTGGCTGTGATGGACAGGGCACATAGGGGGCGGGCAGGGCCGGTCCAGGCGGGGTGGGCCAACTGGGCATTGGGCTCCAGGGCCAGCGGTGCAGCCTCTGGAGGTGGGTGGTGCCGGGTGGGCCTGAAGGTGTCCCTTGTGCCTGCTGCTTTCTGAGTGACACACACACCTAGCAAAGTCTCCTTGCTCCTGAGTGCTCCAGGACCTGGCCGTGTCCCCATCACCTTCCTCCACCTTCCTCCAGGCAGACTGCATCTGGGAGCTCCTGGCTGAAGAAGCTCCTTTCCACCATGGCCACCTCTTCTCCCGCCGGCAACATCAGAGGCGACCGTGCTGCCCGCTCCCAGTCAGTGCATTTGTGGCTGAGACCATGGATTGTGCCACAAATCACAATGATGACAATGATAGCAGCAAAGGCTGTCTTGGGGTGCTCACCTCTCACCAGACATGTCACTGGCATTTTACGGAATCTTCCCAAAGGGCCTACTGTCACTTCACTGTGCAGGGGGAGCCGGTGAGTATAGAAAGGGGCTGGAAGTCAAATGTGGGTCTGCTTGATGGCAAAGTGGATGTTCTTGGCCCCTGGTCAAGGTCACAGGCAGCGGAAGTGGTCTATTCCTGTAGTTCAGGTCTACAGGGGAATGCAGCACGGGGAGCCCCTTGCGTAGGGGATAGGGGGCTGGGGCCATGATCGTGACCTTGCCCAGGAGAGTCTCCGCGCAGCTGGAGGCAAGGAGGTGGCCTCGCTGGAGGATGGGGCCGATGTCCTCAGCTGGGGCAGCCCCTGCCCTTGGCTGGGCACTCACGGTGGGATTTCCCTGTCTTATCCTCAGCAAAGTTGGTCCAAGGAGCTCTTGGCTGTAAATTTTTCCAGCTCCGGCAGCCACCCAGCCCTGGCCTTTGCCTCAGCCAGGGGCTGCTGCTGAGCAGACAGCAGATTCGTCACTGGGCGAGTCCCTGAGCCAGCACAGCTGTCAGCAGGAAGGAGCGTCTGCACCACAGCCACGCGGAGCGTACCCTTGAGCATGACAGGCGCAGACAAAGACCTCAGAATTTGTGGCTCTGCCCTCTGAGTGACGGATGGAGCCGGCTCCTTAAGCCTCTGCTCCACCACTTGCTGTCTCAGGAGGATGAGTGTGGGACAAGGGAAGGGAGCAGAGGGCAGGATGTGTCCTCTGTACGCCCTCGGAATGACTTTGTCAATGGGCAGAGCGGTGACCTTGGCCAGGGGGGAAGGCGAGAGCTTGAAGGTGGGGAGCACGGTGTGTGCCGCACCCCACTGCCTCGCCCCACCCTGCATGGTGCACGACTGCCAGGCACAACCCTGCCTCTCTCTGGCCGTTTGCTTCCTTCCAGTGCTCCTCCACCCAGCAAATCTTTGCAGACTACACACTTTCTGCAGGTATTGTGCTGGGTGCCAGGGAAGGAGCAGTGGACAGCAGCCCCTGGGTCCCTGTCCTCCTGGAGCTTTGGCTAGTGGGGGCAGAAGCAAGCCAACACATCAGCAAACCAGGGGAGCCTTGGGGAAGGTTGGTCTCCTGGGAGGTGACACTAAGGGATAGCACAGCATGGTCTCCTAGGGGTGACACTGAGGGACACTGAGGGACAGCACAGCATCAGCGATGTGTGGTTTAGGGGAGCAGCTGATGCAAGGTGCCCAAGCCAGGGGCACCATGTTGGAGAGCAAGGGCCTTCAGGCTGGCCTGGAGGCCGTGCTGGGGCCCCGCCCAGGACAGAGGCTGAGGAGGCAGGCCCGGGCCTCTGCTTCACAGGGTTGAAGGCAGCACCGGGAGCTCGAGTGGCTGGGGAGGGGCATGATCTGCGCTATGGTGTGAAACCATCGCTGTGGTTTTGCTAGAGCAGACATCACCAGCAGAATCCAGACCCGCGAGCATTCAGCAGCTGCCAACACACACAGCCTGCCCTGACTACCCGATGCCGAGTGTCCTGGTGCCATTCGGACCTTCTGAAATGCATGGTGCCTAAGATGGCTTCCGGTGTGTCGAGTTTTGCGGCAGCATCATTATACACAGACACACATCTCTTGAGTATTCCTTTCTGAGAGGTGTGGATAAGGGCCGATCTCATCCAAGGAAGAGACGGAGCCTTGAGTGGAATTGGCACCACTACAAAACTACCCCGAGTCCATCAGTTACAAAAACGGCTCCTAATAAATTGTGTAAAGTAGGGAAGTTACATGCAGGAGCGTTGGAAGCACGGGCCCAGTGGCCCCGAGGGATATTAACAGATTGGCATTGGAGTGTTGATGTTTCTCAAGCTTTGGGCAGCATCCTGATTCAACACATGGCTTGGTGTGACAGCATTGCGTGTGAGATGCTGAATCGGAGAGAGGGGAAAAGGGGGGGAAGAGCCAGCTGCAGCTCAGACAGGAGGAGGAGAGCAGAGATTGAGAGACATGCATCAGAGCACGATAGCAAAGACTTCCAAAGCCCCGGAGCTGCGTTGGTGAGAACAGCACGAATTTACGACCTGACTGTTCTGCTTCTCCCCTGAAACAGCCCAGGCCACCTGTGGGCTGATGCATCTGGCCCAGGTGTCCCCATGCAACCGTACAGTCCCACCGAGTCAGGATTGGTTCTCTCAACCGCCTTGCCCCTCCAGGAGGTTAGGACACCCTGTTGGGTCCTGGAGCAGCGACGACTTGGTGTTGGAAGGCAATGACACTTGCAGAGATGCCTGCAGGGAAATCGGCATGTGCAGAGAGACCTGCTCAGAGAGTGACCCCCAGGCCCCTGTTAGGGGGACAATCAGAACATTACAGGCAGGTGGCCCAAGCCGGGTCTGTAAAAGAGCTTGGGTCCACAAGACTATTGAAAAATAGATGTGAGCGTGAATGTGCCAGAGAAAGTTGGGATGCACGCCACCAGTTTTCAACAAGGTTTACTGAGGGATATTGATCAAGTCACACGGCTAAAGCTCTCGTCTAAATTGTAGCCAGCACCTAGGTCTCTAATCCAAAGTTGTGTTGACTTGCTCCAACTGTATTGATTTAAAGGATTGAAATGCATGCAGAATCAAGGCACGTGCACACACACACACACACAAACACATATACATACTCGCACCCATTGCTCCCTGGAGACTGATGGTTGAAGTTGCTAGCCAGGGGCCAGTGTTGTGGTGTAGCCTGCTGCACCGGCATCCCATATGGGCGCCAGTTTGTGTCCTGGCTGCTTCACTTCCCATCCAGCTCCCTACTAACGGTCTAGGAAAAGCAGCAGAGGATGGCTCATGTGTTTGGACCCCTGCTCCCCATGTGGGAGACCTGGAAGAAGCTGCTGGCTGCTGGCATCAGTCTGGCGCAGCCCAGGCCATTGTGGCCATCTGGGGATAGAAACAGCAGATGGAAGACCTCTCTCTGTGTCTCTCCCTCTCTCTGTAACTCTGACTTTCAAATAAATAAATAAATAAATCTTAAAAAAAAAAAAACCAAAAAGTCTCCAGCCAGCTCTTGTTGCTAATCCAAGACTGTTTCTGTGGATTTCTCTGTGGAGTTTGATGCCACCAACCCCTCCCTCCTGGACGTGGTCTGCTCTTTGGATGTTCCGACAGTAAGATCCTTTGCTTTCCTCTCCATCTCTTAGGCCAACCCTTCCTCGGTCGTCGCTCCTTGGAGGTTCGTCCTTGGTCTCCTCCGGCCTCCCCTCCTTCTCTGTCTCATCTCGCTCTCCACTGTCCCTAAATGGACTTAACACGCTCTCAGCATGGGGCCTGTCCTAGGTTGGCTGCCTTAGAGATCTGCGGGCAGAGCTCCCTGGGGGGCGCTCGTGGGATCGGCCCCCAGGGGGCGCAGGACTGCAGGTGAGGAGCGGCTGGAGTGTGATGCAGTCGCAAGAAAGGCCTTGGCCGGGCCCAGGGCCCCTCTGGACCTGGGGGAGGCCTTTGTGCCCTGCAAGGGGAAGCCACTGGGGGTGGGCTGCGACCTTGGTGAGGTGGCTACCTGACTGGCCCAGCTAGAGCTGGCCACGCCCATTATGCCGTTGCACAGGGCGAGAGGGATCCACTGGGCGGCCCCAGGTTGAATTCACAGCCCCGACCTCTGAACAGGTGCCACACCTGCACGGCAGTGACTGCACAACGGAGGTGCTGATCCGCAGGGCGGCAGCTCTCCAGACGCCCCCCAAAGCTCATTTACAGACCTCTCTTCCCACTGGAATGTCTGGAACGTGAATGCCACTCCTGTGGGTGGAGCGCCTGGTCTGTACCAGGACTGCTGGGCCCTGGGGTGCGTGCTGGCCGTCAGCTGCAGGGGTCGGGCAGCTGATGAGGCAGCCCAGGGTGGACAGAGGGCAGGGGGCAGCACAGAGCCCAGCACGGCCGGGAAGGGTCATGCTCATCCACTCTGAAAGCTCCCACGGGTAGGCAGTGGGACAAGGAGAAAAGGAAGATCCAAGGGCTGGCAGTTGGGGTCGGGGAGGCTGGGGCCTGGGGCAGAGCTCAGATGAGAAGGCAGAGGTGAGTGGGGCTGGAGAAGGGGAACAGGGCCCACAGGTGCGTCTCTGCTGGGGTCAGCTCCCCGGACTCCATCTCCTAACTTATCTCTGTGCTCACAGACACACAAACAAGCATACTGGGTGCATACAGAGGGTGCACCTGTGCACATCTGTGTCCTGCTCTGTCCCTGCAGGGATGGACATGCACACAGCTCTGATGCATGCCCACGGCCTGCCCGAGCCCACACTGGGTCCACCTTCCCCTGGCACACACACACGCATGTGCAAGGACACTGGCAGCCATCCCCATGGGCTGGTGTGGGCTCGCCCCTGCGCTTGCTCGGGAAACCTGAGTGACAGCTGTCAACACGCAGCCTCCTCTGCCGTGGCTGGGTTGCTGCTGCAGGGCAGGGCGCCCTGTGGCCTGGGGCGGCAGCCTCCGCAGGGGAGAGGTGAGCCTTTTCTCTTTGCTGTTTTTGGGGCGCAGCCTTCTGAAGCGCCACGAATAAGTATTCAGCTCCTTTCTCTCCCCAGAGACCAGGTCGCTCTCTAAATACCAAGGCAGGAAAGTGGAGACTCAAAAAGGTCATTACCGAATACCGAGAGGCTGGCATTTAGCTGCTGGAGTGGCTCCTGGAGGAGAAGCCTCAGACCCCAGCGGGAAGGCTTTGTCATCAGGTCCATTGGTGGCCCTGGGTCCCTGTCAGAGCCCGAGGGGGGTGCAGCAGGAGGGGCTGGGAGGACACAGCCCCTCCAGTGGGAAGGACACAGCCATGGGATGGATGGCCGCCCTATGGGCTGTGATCCTGGGGCAGAGAGGCCAAGGGTGCACCCCGCCTTTTCTGGGGGCACACGGGAGGCCTCAAGGCTTCAGCAGCCAACCCAGGAGCAGAGAAGACTGGCCGTGGCCCCGAAGCTGATCCGTCTGCTTGCCAGCGAGGTCTCTGGGACACGATGACCACACCTTGTCTAGGGAGCACCTCCCTCCCTCCTTTTGTTTGTAGCTAAGATGAAAAAAAGAAAAAGGGAAAAGACTGCTGAATAGCTTTAGCACGCACTGCCACTCAGGGCCTTTGTCTGGGGCCTTGCTAAGTGTCCTTGGCTGGAAGGTGTGATCTCCCGGGCAGGATGTTGGCAGGAGCCAAGGCGCTACGAATCAGTGGGCTAAACTGACCTGCAGGAAAGTGGGAGGAAGGGAAAGAGGCAGAAGGCAGAGAGGGAGTGGGCAGGGCAGAGCCAGGGCCAGGGTAGGAGGTGGGCAGAGGGATCTTATCTGTCTGTCCCTCCAGGTCCTGTCCCTACCCTTGGACCCCTGCCCTGTGCCCCAGGCCTGACCGCTGGGAACATCTCAGGCCTCAAGGGGCTCCTCTGCCTCCAGCTTCTGGTTGGTTTTGGCCAATGGTGGCTCCAGCAGAAGATCAGAGCTGGGGGGAGAGCGGGGTTGGGGGCTTTCCTCCTCGGTCCCCTCCCTGCCTGTTTGGCTGTCCGTCGCAGGAGCCCCCTGAACTGCAGGGACACACGCGGCCGGTTTGCTGGGGTCCTGGGATGACTTTACTGAAGATAGAGTGGGCCAGGGGACCGGGTGCACCTGTCCTCTTTCAGATCTGCACTGGCACAGGAAGAGGAAGGGCTGGTACAGGTGGGCGGTGGTGGAGCAGTGTCTGGGGCACTTGCTGGGGCAGCCGTTATCCAAAGGGAAGTCATGACCCTGGCATGGGGGTGACAAAAACCAGGGAGTCCCCAGGCTCCACTGCCACAAGCAGGTGGCGCCTATTCCTGGTCTACACAGGACACTGGGAGAGGGGAGGTGGCATGGGGGTGGGGGCCCACAAGAACCATGACTTGGGGCCGGATTTATTTTTCTGGCTCCTATAAGACAGTGAGGGAGGGGGGTTTTGAGACTCTTTTTTTTCCCCCAACTCGTGACGCATAATGCAATCAGATGACATTTAAATATTCATGTCATAAAAAAGGATGCAGATGCAAGTGAGAGACTGGTGGGCTGGGGTGGGGGAGGAGAGAGAGAGGGAGGGAGAGGGACTGAGGGGCGCTCACTGCATTTTGTGGAACTACAGGGTCTGAGCGTGAGCGATAGCTGGGACACGCAGGTCACCATCGCCAGTGGCAGGGGCTTCTCCCTGGCAGCCTTGGTGAGTGGGGTCCTGAGGGCCCCCTTCCCTCATGGACTCGCACCATCCTGAAGCCAGACCTTCCACGGGGGGCACGGACCTCCTCCTTAAACAGAGCTAAAGCCCCCTTCACCCCCTCCCCCACCAGGGCCCTAGTGCTGGCTCCTGGGAACACCTAGGATGTGGCCTCCCTGGGTGTCCCCTGATAGCCCTCAGAGAGCTTCAGCAAGTGACCATGGCTCCCTAGCTCCAAGCAGAGTGACCCTAAGCTCAACATAACCCTTGCTGGGGCCTTTCTTAAGGTGCTGCCTAGGAGGCCCCAGTAAGGAGGAAGGGAGAGAATCCTGCCTGCTGATTAACGCTCATCCCAGGGGACTGAGTGCCTTGGGATGTGCCCCTCTGGACATCCACCACCAAAGAGGAGAGTAGGGAGTCTGGCTTTCTGAAGAACCAGAGAGGGAACAGGGTGGAAGGCAGATGCCTCTAGTATGGGCATCAAGAGGCTTGAGTTTTAGACCCAGCCTGGAACATTCTGGCTGTGCAACTTGGAGGAAGTCGCTTCACCTCTCTGAGCCTTGGCTTCTTCATCTGTAAGGGATGGACACCTTCCTTAGGAGGGTTAAGGAGCCGAGAGAACAGTGTCCCCTGGTGGGAAGGAACGGAGCATCTGTCTGTGTTATGGGTTCTCTGGGCCCACTCTGGGGGCAGCAGGAGGAGGAGCTGAGGCTGGAGACACAGAACACCAGGGCCCTTCCCTGTGGGCTCTGGGTGGTGGCAAGGAGGGACGGTGGGTGCTCGGGGTCTGGTACAGAGAAGGCTCTGGATGGAGGGCCTCAGGGACACAGCTGAAGCCCGGACGCACCTGCTCAGGGTCGGGCAGGGGCTCCCTCAGAGGGAACAGCTGACCCAGCAGTGCCGATGGAAGAGACGGGACGCACCCGAGCCGTGGGGCTCCCCGGTGCTCTCCCTCTGGCTCTGCCATCTTGGACGAAAGTCCTAACTTCCCTGACCCTTAGTTTCTTCATCTGACTATTATAGGAAAAAAAAAATCAAATGGCCAGATTCTCCTGGGGACATTCTAATGATTAGGGAGCCATAATCCATGGAGCTGAATGAATGAAGTGAGGGAATGAATGAAATGAAGCTGAATGGGTGGGGCTCTCAGGACTCCAGGTGGGTGGGGGCAGAGGAGCATCGTCCCCCCCCAACCTGGAGCAGCATTTAGAGCCCAGGGTAGGAGGAGACAGGGAGAGGGCACAGTCCCGTGGCCCACCCTGCACGGAGATCCTCACGGCAGACCCCAGCTGAGAGTCGTGGCCTAGACTTCTGGACTGACGGGAGCTCCATAGTCCATGGCTCGGTAGGGGCACTGACAGGAACGCTCCCTCACACTAGGGGGCGCTCTCCTTTCTCCACGGATCCACCAGCGCCCTAGAAGGGCCTGAGAACACTGAAGAAGCTTCTGCCGGTGGGGCTGTGGGCCGAGGAGAACAGGGAGCAGTAGCGGCAGCTGGAGCGGAGGAGGGGCCGTCCCTGGCCCTGCTCAACCCCTGGCCCCGGTCTGGGTGACTGCCCTTCCTGGTCCAGGCTCTCACTTCTCCTTCTTGGAGGTCTTCCCGGGCCTGAGGCCACTCAGTGCCCCGTCCCATCACTCTCTCCTGCGTCCTCCACCCACGCTCTTCCTGTCCTGGTCGGTCAGCCTGCCCTGTGCACTTGGCCCCGGGCCTGCGCCCTTCCCTCACAGGGCCTAGCTCTTCTGACAGGCCACCTCCGTCCACCTTCACACCGGCTGCCTCCTCACTGCCTTCCCCACGAGCCCAGGACCCGCTGCGGAGACTTTCCCAGTAGAAACCAGCC